TGGGGTTTCACCATGTTGGTCAGGCTGGTCTTGAACTCCCGACCTCAGGTGATCCGCCCGTCTTGGCCTCCAAAGTGCTTGGATTACAGGCGTGAGCCACCATGCCCGGCCAAGAGCCATTTCTTAGGGATAAGCTGGGAAATTCTTACAGGTGTGGAGGATATTTCGAATACACCTTTTGCCTTTGCACTAACATTCTTCCATTTCTTTCAGCCTCTTCCTCCATTCCCATTAAAACAATCACCATTATATCAGTGATCTCAAAATCTAGATTTATCTTCTTTCTATTCATATCCTTAAAGCCATGCATTGGTCTGGACAGGAGTTGTCCCATGTTTCCTTACAGACTGGTCACTCCGTGCTCTCTGTTACAGTAAGGACCAGCCAGAGCTTCAGCTGTCCCGTTCCTCCCCCACAGCACACACATCTGTCAGGCAGGGAGGAGATGAACCCCGAGCCCCAAGAGTGGAGGCTGCCGCATCCTAACATAGCATCTATTGAAAAGGAAGCAGTGTGTATCTATGATTATATCTCTGTTCAGCTATATATTTTTGACATGTGGCAACAACTCTCCATCTTATCAAGGAACTCAACTCGGTCTGGGTCTCCCCAGTGCCCAGTGGTGGCCTTTGACAGGTAGGAGGATGCAGTGCTACAGGCTATTTTATTTTTTGTTACAAAACTGTCGTTTCCCTTTTCCCCTCCACCTGATTCAGCATGATCCCTGTGAGCTGGTTCTCACAATCTCCCGGGATGGGGCTGAGGCAGGGGCTTCGCTCTATTCACCTAACTACCATCTTCCTTTCCCCCTTGCCACTTAGCAGTTATCCCCCAGCCATGCCTTCTCCCTCCCCCCCTTGCCCTGGCATATGTCGTGCCTTATTTATGCTGCAAATATAACATTAAACTATCAAGTGAACCACTGTTATGTCTGATGCTTCACTACTCTATCTACAGGTCCCATTGTCCACTCTTCGGGGAGGTCACTGGGCGGTCTGTCAACTTCCTTACTCCCCCATTTCTTAGGACAGAAGGAACAGGGATTCTTGTCCCTAGTTTTTATGCAGGGGAGACACAGCCTAGAGTAGGTGGATGATTTCTATCACTTAGGAAATACGACAGAAGGCCCAGGGCAGAGCTCCTGTGGACTGCCTTGGAGACAAGGGCCCTTGGCATCCTGGCAGCAAGCACTCACCAGAAAACTTAGTATGTGCTTTATGTGGATGGCAGGTGGGAGAGTTGCTGATGGCAAATGGCCTTTTACTTTTCAGTGTTTTTTCAACAACCGCCAGCAAACCATTAAAAAAGAAAAAAAAACCAGCCCTAGGCTGGGTGAACTGGCTCATTCCTGTAATCCCAGCACTTGGGAGGCTGAGGCGGGCAGATCAAGAGGTCAGGAGATTGAGACCATCCTGGCTAACACGGTGAAACCCCATCTCTACTGAAATACAAAAATTAGCTGGATGTGGTGGCACACACCTGTAGTCCCAGCTATTCGGGAGGCTGAGGCAGAAGAATCGCCTTAACCTGGGAGGCAGAGGTTGTAGTGAGCTGAGATCACGCCATTGCACTCCAGCCTGGGCAACAAGAGTGAAACTCCGTCTCATAAAAAAAGAAGCAGGTCAAGAGTTCACAAGAAAAATAGGTAATGCTCAGAGCCTGTGGGAATCAGGAAGAGGTGTAGGGAAATCACAGATAATTTCTTGCATCTGTTTATTCCTTTATAATTAACATCACCAATGAGAATAGTGAGACAGGCTGAAGAATTTGACAAAGATAGCAGGAGTCTCTGGAATTTCCCAGTAGGAGAGAAATGATTTAAGAAGCTATATATGGCCGCGCGCGGTGGCTCAAGCCTGTAATCCCAGCACTTTGGGAGGCCGAGGCGGGTGGATCACAAGGTCAAGAGATCGAGACCATCCTGGTCAACATGGTGAAACCCCGTCTCT